AAAAAAAAAAAAAAAAAAAAAAAAAAAAAAAAAAAAAAAAAAAAAAAAAAAAAAGTACATTCATAACAAGATCGTAACGAATTAAATCACGAAGCAAAGAAAAAAAAAAAAAACTATTATTGTCTCCCAACAAGATATCCTTTTTGATTACAAGACCTCATCCTTGGGGATGTCAGCTTCAAGATTATTAGTGTTGTTCGTATCGATCAGCGAGACATTTTTCAGGAGTGCCCATCAAAAAAGTCGATGAATATACTGAGAAATCACAAAAATATTTGTGCTGACAAAACATGGTTACCAAATTTTCTCATACTCCGATGACCTTAACCCGTGCATATCAATATACACCTTTTTACCGGTACAAGGATATTTATAACGAGCTATGTTGTATCCAAAACATATGAATGTAATAATGCTCGACCAAAAAGTAAAAATTTATGTATACCCCATTATTGAGTAAGGAGTACAAAAAATGTTGGTACAAGTGCTGGAATGAACTCATATTTCAGAAATGCAAACAAAACTTTACTCAGCACGTAAATATAATGCTCACTAAAGTCACACTGGCTGCGGGGCATACAGCCATTTGATTACCCCGAAAATCGAAGCCACACACACCGCAACTGCAATAGCCATCATTTGGACTCCGTCGTACTAATTGGCGAACTTTCTGACTCGTTCGCCGTACCAACTTTTCGATACTGTTTCCGGGCTCTACTTTATTTTTATCTCCGTGTACACTCCTTTAATTCAACGACCAGCTCCGCTTACAATGGTCCGCAGATACGTGTAACTATATCGACTTGGTTTTTTTTTTTTTTTTTTTTTTTGGTCTTTTCATGCTGTCGGAAGGGGTGTACTTTACTATACTTTTTTTTTCTACTTTTTTACAGTCGAAGCTGAACTGCGAAGTCCTGGACGAGAATCTGACTTTCGAGGTTCGATGGGCCGTCGCTGGGGACAGTATAGTCGTGCAGCTCGTTGGAAAACTCGGTAAGTCTGACCAATTTCTCTAGACTCGTTGCTTTATCTTTATTTATTTTATTAAATCCATTATGTGCATGAAAATGTGCATTATATGCTTCGTGCAAGCTTTAAGTAATTATGTTATAGATCTCCGTCATCTCAGATCACACAAAAAATAGTCCTCCCAATGACGCTAAATAAAAATATGTGTACAAGTTGGGTGCGGTAATTAGCAATGATTTTAATTTTTTTAAGTTCAAAGCTAATTGTTTTATTCATCAACTCGCATGGCAACTTCAAGCTCCTGTCTAGCCTGGTACAATGTTACAAGCTGTAAAACGTAATTAAATCACGATTTATTTGAATAATGTCCAACCCACAGTCTAATCAGTCGTACTTCGGGAGCCTTATCGATTTTACTGACAGACAATATTTGTTTTCGGTTCCGCGTCACAGCGGAAACATTAACAACTCGTTTTTTTGTTTTTCATGGTAATTTCTTCAACTACTCAAAATTCGTTTTAGTTTCATTAGGTTTAACATTTTTTTTAGTAATTTTAGAATATCAAGCATGTAACGAATGCTTTTCTCATTCGTGCGTTTGAATTTTTTTTTTTTTTTTTTTTGTTCGTGATTTTCCATTTATGTGATTTTTTACGAAATAATCACTTTTTAAGCCAAGCTGCCTGAATGATACTTCACGCTTACCACTTGATTTGCGTAAACTAGCCGGATCATGGGCTCGTCTTACCTTACTTGCCTGTCTCTACTTTTGGAAGTCAAATACAAATGTGAACTGTTTCATTCAATTGTCAATCAAAATTATAACCAAAAAGTTTAAAAATAAAAAATTTATTCCTTTAGTACGTGTAGGTATGTCATAAACAAATGGTTTGGTAAATTTTTTTTGTTAGAATTGCGTACAATACAGTAAAAAAATGTTTTTTTCTCAAGTAAATAAAAAATATTACTCATGAATAAATTCAAAAAGAATCGGTAGAAGCCTTATTTTGAGTTATTAATAATACTAAGCATTTGGTTTTAATTTTAATCGATAAGTTTTGAGTGAAAAAATCGTTGAAATTGAAAATTTTTTTTTATTTGCAACGAGTGATCAAATATCAGATCGAATTATTTTGATATTTCTCGGTTCTGATATAGTAGAGTTATCAAACATTCTTGCCAAATGTTAATTTCTCATTTTATAAACCTCGCAGTAATGTATACGTTTTTTTACAAGATTTAATTTTATGTATAATGTATGATAATTATCTCAGGAAGCACGCAAAACAAAAGGAACAAAGTTGAATAACGCGAAAGCATTGTTTTGGTGGATAAAATGAAATCCTGATAACCATCTTCATTGTGGAGCACATTAACCTCTACCTTCTGCTTTATTTTACATTGAGGCGCTTCTCCCTCGAGAGGTACACCATCCAGCGTTAATTGTACATGCGTTACCATGTCAGTAAATGAGTTAGCAAATCATTTAGAGTGCAAAGTTGGCAATCATGTACTTATTTCGCGAAATGAGATAAATAATAATAATTATTTACCTTGTCTGATTCGTTATTATTAGAAAAAAAATTTTGCGCAAGTATTCTGCATACCTATGTGCGTAATTCAATTTGAATGTGGTGCAGAAGATACATGTTGCCAACTGCGTTTAACTAAATTATTTCGTGACAAAAGTAACCTCTAATTTTCGTTGCTTGCTACTTTAAAACTCAAATTACTAATAGAAGTAAACGTAAAAAGTTTCTATTCAATTGACTAAAACATTTCTGAAATTTACATCTATGTGGTGATGGTTTTTAATCAAAGACAAATAATTTATTTTCCGAGTAATCTACAAAACAGAGCAGTGAGTCGACAGCCGTTGCCTTAAGACACCGTGTGTTAGACAAAGAGATGCATACGAATTTGTCGAACTTTGAAATTGTTTTACGCAAAAACTATACGTACAATTTTGCTCAAATTTTCAGAAAATGTGTATTAAAACGTCATCTAGCAATAAACAAAGTTTCAAGCAAAAATACAATAGTTCATTTTTCGGGAGAAGCGCCTTAAAGTGGTTACTTTCATTCATTTACGAGATTATACTATACTATATTTACAAGATTACGAGATTATGATGGAACGCATCAAGATTTTATGAGTAACAAAATATTGTTTCTCATTTCTTTATTTACAGATGTAACGGATTATTGAATCACTTATGGACATAATATTAATTCATTGCATAAACAAAAATATTTTTTCTTGGAGATCAACGTATGGCAAGTAAGGATAAAGACTAATAAAAAGAGAAAAAGGTTTATTATTGTTTGGAAAATGTTTTGAACGATGTTTAGTAAAAGTTGCATTTTTGCAACTACGTACATGAAAACTCGTTAAATGTAAAAAACTTGAAAAATTTTAGTTTATTAAACTTTGAGAAATATTTTTGCTTGCTTGGGCCATAATTCTTTCAAATTAAATTCAGCATTCTATTAGGAATAATGTTGAAAAACAAAAATGTCGACCAGTGCATAATTTGTATTTTTAGAAAAAGAAAATTAATAAACGTATCCAAAGTCCGCTCTGGTGAAAAAAATATGAATTGATTCTCAAAAAATTGTAGGGTACTGTGCAAGTAAAATTTCTGAAGTTGATAGAATTTTAACTAGTACGAGATAAAATACAAGAAATCGTTCTTTATTCATTAAAATTATTATGTAACAGTAACTTAATTTTCGATTTTGCGATAAGACGAGACACACGCATTTATGATTGTACTTATGCATATCAAAGTGTTTTTTTTAATAATTGATACAAGAAATAATGAAACTATAGTTCTTATTGGTACCTGATTACATTAGGAGCTTATTGTAAAGAAGTTGTTTTATAAATAATTATACCACATCATTTTTTAACATATAGTATCAAAGGATCTAGGGCAGTTTTTGAACAAAGTTCATTAAAGTAACTATTTTTGATTTGATAGGGGTGTTTTATAATGAAAAAAAAAAAAAAATTGTGTGATTGATTAACAATTGATTGATTACGATGAAAAGAAGTTGAATTCAAAATTTCAGGTTGTTACGTGAAAATTTGCAAAAACGAGCTAAAGATCGTTACATCGTTAATATGAATTCACTATTAAACAACTGCAATAATTATTAAAAACACTTGTAAAACCACCTTACATAAATATCGAATCTCTTGTCTATAAGCCTACTCTTTTTCGTACGAAAAAAAAATGAAATCTCGAAAGTTAACTTGAGCACCAGAACTTATTAGCGGACAAAAAAAAAAAAGATGGCAAACGTATACTAATTATTGTACGTACTCATCCCACAGACAATAGCTGAAATACCTGACCAATTATCGTGATTGGACATTTAATCAGATTATTTTATAATCTCGCGGCGTCCTCGGGAAGGAAGAGGATCTGACAAAAAAAAAAAAAAAGCTGATGCGACTCGGACGTCGACGTACCCGAAGCAACGCTGTAACTTAATATTTTCGAGAAGCAGCTTGCCTTCATCCTCTTTTCATACATATACACATACTCTGATGTTACTCGACGTAAAAGCTTCTTTTAGCTCGAAGTAGCGGCCCAAAGGAGCCACTCGATCGCTAACTAGTAGAGTCATCAGTCTTCTTGATAATTAATATTTTTATATCTTGATTACTGTGCTGCTGATTGAATTTAATTATTCGTTAGTACAATTAATAACCACCTCTTGAATATATTTTCCCATCTGTAATTGGATAGTTAAATGCTTAAAGAAATTTCTCGACAGAAGTAATAGTCCCTATCTCTGGAGGCAATACAGTGACACTGTATCACCTTTCCTTCTACTGCACGAGCGAGTATTGCGAAATGCTATTCAGGAAGAGGAGAAAGGATTACAATACATATACAAAAACATGCAATACGTACGTACACAGTCAATCACGCGTTTCCGTATCGATCTCTCTACGCCATCTGTTATACAAGTACACACAGGTAGACTATAAAAAAAAAAAAAATTATTTTTTTTTCTGATGTTAAAATTCATATTTATCATCATACATGTTCGTATTCGCACTGCTGAACAGTTGCGGAGCAGAGTATAATTTGTGAGTCGTATTTCATAATGCATGTGTTGCTCGAGACTTAAGACACTTTCACCCGTCATCTCATGCTCTGTATCGTTTCTGTATGTATCGTGCACTCCTAAACATATCTCACGAGCGTATGGATTTCACGAGCCTCCAACCGTTACATATCCCTATGTAGTACACAAATATGTGGTTAACTTTTGTTTTGATCGATCGCCATGCTGTAGTTTTCTAGTGTTACGAAAACTTGCTGATAAATATGCTGGTTTCACATTTTAAACAGACTTTTTTTTTTTTAACTATAACAAAAATTACGTAGTATGAATTGAATAATCATTTGGAAGTGGAATAGATAAAAAAATATCGTACGTCAGAAAAAGAAAATAAAATAAAATTTTGCTACGCAAGCATTTAAATCTCACATGGGATCTGAATTTAATTTTAATAACTTAGCTATAAAATTGTGTAATACTTAAGGAGGTTCCAGAAAAAAATAAAAAACGTTAGGTAACACTGAAAAAAAGTACATTCTTTTTAAGAACATAATTATGCTGTGTATGAATTTTTTTTTAAAACTTTTTTTTCAGACGTATTTCTGAGGGAAAGTAAATCAGTTAACGTCACAATTTTATTTAGGCTCTTATTAAATTTTATTAAATGTAACTTTTTGAAAATTTTTCGTGTGATTGTTTTTTTATTCTTTTTTAATAAATAGTTTATTTTTAAAAACGTTATAGCAGAACTGTTAGTAAATACATTGTTTGAATAAAATAACACAATTTTTTTTCTATGTATATTTAACATTTCCTTCTAATAGGTACTAATACTAAATAAACTTGATTCCATAAATTTTTACAATATTTCTGAAATTTAAAATTTATCGAAATCGTTATTTTTATTGCATCTGCACAGTGTTTGCCTTCCGTTATTCTCTTCTAGCTTGCGATACATTTATAGGTATAATTTTATTTAGACTGATCGATCGTCCCATTAAACTTTTGACTAGAGACGCACAGTTGAATGTTTTATTTAGTTACATCCATAAGATCTTATACTAAATAAAAAATGAACACAAAATAAATGTTATTATTATTGCAAAGTATTTTCTCCCACACAATGTCTGAACTTCACGAAACTCCTTTTGTAAAATTTCATGTGATTAAATATAATTTTTTTGAATCACCCAAACTAAACCTTAGTTCAGTGGGATAATGTTGCTGTTTTAATATAATATGTGAAAGAAAAAAATTATCTTCAATAATTTACAACAAAATGAAGAAAACAATTATCAATGACACAATTTTTCAAAATCATATTATTTTTAATATCAAAATAAAAAACTGTACACCTGCAAGTACATTGATAAATAATTTTTTGGGATTAGCTTTATCTCACCCGTGGATAAAATTTCAAAAATTTTATTACCACCAATATTGGTACACACTTTAGGTGCAGGTGTAATATTTATGACGCAGTCTCATTGATGAATCAAAAAGTAATCACATGTACTTGTATACCAACACGTCACATCAAACTTCACTCAAGCATGTGGTTGTTTGTCTTGCAGACAATGGCCAATACATGTCGTTCGGCTTGTCAGCGGACCCGCAGAAGAGTGTCATGGTCGGGGGTGACGTGGTCGTCGCCTGGGTTGACAAGCAGACGTTGCAGGGGTATGCGGTCGATTACTTCCTGGAATCCAAGTCTCAGTGCTCAGGTGGACGAGGCAGTTGTCCAGACCTTAGGATCCAGGTGACTTTTGTGATTTAAGGAGTTTCTATTTTTATTTATTTTTTTATTTTTTTTTTTTTCACGTAACTACGGACGTGATAACTTCCTACGATAGGAGTCAAGGAAAGGACACGGTAACAATAGTAACAGTCAAGTTATACAAATACGGGGTCACTGATCATTAAATACAATAGCAATTCATTGTTCTTTACTTTTGAAAAAAAATCAGTCCATATATTAACGCAATAGTAATGATTGATAATTTAAATTTTAATTATACAATCGATTGATTTAGTATTTACTTACTTGATGGAAATCTATAATTTAACAAAGCAATGAATAATGAGTTGAATTGTCTAGTTGTTCAAATCAGTTGAAAAATTACTGCATCCATCAGTTTATCAATGATCAATAGCCTCAATGTCGTTTCTCATGAATACGTATCCACCGAAAAAAATCAATATTCTCCCTCGACCGAGGAAAAAAAAATTATTTTTTTTCATGACAATAAATCCCACGATAAATTACAAAACAGCCCTATAGCTCGATCCTGTTACGACCGATTTCCAGGACAACTCGAGCTCGGTACGTCTATTAAACGCGGCAATGGTGAACAGCTACAGCATCGTGACGTACCAGCGACCGTTGAAGGCCGAAGATGGATTGGACCTTCCAATAACGACAAACAGTTCGCAGGCGATAATCTGGGCCATCGGACCCCTGAACGACAAAAACGAGGTCAGCTTCCACACGAGCTTCTACCTGAAGGGCGATCGATCGATCGACTTTGGCCGCCCACCGGCCTGGAACTGCCCCACGACCGAAGAATTCAATCGACATCAGCAAGAACAAGAAACCCAAAAGCAACAGAAGGAAAACCAAGCGCAACAACAACAGTACCAGGAACACCAGCAGCGGCAGCAGTACCATGAGCAGCAGCAACAAGCTCCCCCGTTGCAACATCGCCAGCAGGGCGATGGACATCGCCGTGGAAAACATACGGATGACAAGGTTTGCATCCATCAGAGATTTCTATGCACCATTTTGATGATTGTACTTGGTCACTCAACGCATCAGTGAAAATGCATCAAAAAGTGATGTGATCATAATCCATGAGAATTGCTTGAAAATTAATTGGCAATGGTGTATTACAGATTGAAATAACAACAAGGAGGCCTTCGAGGATTCCGGCCACCCCAGCGCCAGCACCTCAGGATGACGCTTGGGAAATTCCACCCATTCAATGCTACGAGCCCGAAGATGGTGTCTTTTATGCCCAAATGGGACCAACCGGTGGCTCACATGGATATCCTGCAATAACTGGTATGATTTCTTTGTTATGAGTATGGAGTGTTGCGGCTGGAGGGTTTACTTACGTTTTTCAGACTACGTTCGAATTAATAAAATATGGAATTTTCAAAAGTAAATAGATAGTGGCAAATCTTGGTCGTCCTCAGCTGATGATACGTAATTTCTATTACCAAAGTGATAATTTCTTATTATTAAAAATCCATTTGACTGTAGGTCACGTAGGCTGGGGAATTTCCTGGTACATCAACGGCCTCCTCATACCGGAAATTCATGTGGTACGAGGCAAAACCTACACTTTTGTCGTCGAGGGCGGAGACAATTCTGAAATACCCGCTCGTTATCATCCCTTCTACATCACGAATGATCCCGTTGGTGGCTACCAGCACAAGACGCCCGAAGAGCGAGCGGTAAATTTTTTGTTGTATCCCGTAACAAACTTACCAGTGACACCCTTTATCACATCGTAATATACTTTAACAAATTATGCTTTGCATATCTTCTTCCTAGTATAAGATAATAATTAATTTAATTTAAAAAAACTCGATTTCCTCGATCATCAGTTATCTGTTATCAATTATCTTAACGCCCATCAACATAAACAATGTAAAATACATTCCCATAGAACATAACGATCTTCGCTGGAGTTCGTCGTCAACGAGGTGTAGTCCGACCTACCGGAGTTGGCCGCCTATGTAATTGGAAACCAGATCAAAATGAACCTCTTGCTGATGAATTCTCATCTTTTGGCGCTTATCAGCGAACTCTGACACTCGAATGTGACCAAGGAGAGCCAGGAGTCGTCACGTGGGTGCCCGATGAAAAGACACCTGATACCGTCTATTACCAGGTTGGTTATTATATTTTTATTGACCTAGTGATTTCTAGCATTGTTGTATCATTGCAAAGTATTATTCTGGTTATTTAATGCTATTAGCAACAATCAAATTTTTGGTTGTGGAAACTGTAATTATTTTCTTACAATCAGATGAATTTAATCATTTGAAAATAAAATTTTCAAAAATTAGCTAAGATTAGCGTAAATAACCCTAATAACCCTAATTTCAGTGTTTCACTCATCGCTACTTGGGTTGGAAAATACACGTGCACGACACGTGTGACACACCGAAGCCAGAAGCTAGCGAGCTACACGAGGTTTTAGTGGCGCCTGATCAGCAACAGCAGCAAACTGGTGATCTCGAAGGCGAAGCCAGCATTATTGCTAGCCCGAGCAAGGTAACGCCCTCGCCTGAGTTCTTCCAGCAACACCAGGAGTACGCCTCTCGGGACTTGGAGTACCTGAGAAATAGACAAGCCCATCATCACCCGCAGCTTCTCCATCATCATGCCAAATCGGCGATTAACAACAAGCTTATAACAGGTCCTTATCTTCGCGAACATCATCTGCTTCCCAAGCATCATCACCATTACACTCACAACAATTATCGCTTTCCTCCGCAATTAACTCATCTTATGCCTGTGTATGCCCTGCAAAAAGTAACCGACCGTGCTGAAGATCACCATCATCGACGTTTTCCCGCTAAACAACTCGCCCGTGAGACTTACGTCAACTATTTCATTCAAAGCGATAACAACAATAACAAACATTCCTACAATCAACCACCCTTAGATCGCCATCAACATTATAACCACCATCATGGGCCAGGATCCTTGTCTCAGGGTGTCCAGGAACCCGTTAATAACATCGCTGAGATCAAAACCTTCAATACAACCATGCTCGATCCCGACTCACAAAATTCTCAAATTATTCCAGATCGTCAAGTAGCGAGACAACCACCGGCCTTTCTGATAAACCGGGCGGTGAACCCGCCGATGCACGTTCCCTATTCCGTACCCACCATGCATCTGCCCACTGCTACTTCAATCGAGAATGTTGTCTACGTCAAAGAGCCAATGAGTAACGGGAGAAATCAGCCGGTCCACGAACCTTTACCACCACCTCAGATAATGATAGTTCAAAGAAGACCCCAGGTTCCAGCTGGACCATATTATCAGATGGCACCTAAACGACACCCTTCTATTATTCCCTTGCTGGGAGCTGCGTATAATCCTCAGCAGGTGCCGGTTGCTTCTGTTATGTCGGCTCCCAAACAACCGGTTTTATACGAAAGAAAGAAAGAAGTTCACAAGAGACCGATGCTGTCGAGAATGCAAATCGTCAGCAAACCTAGTAACCCTCAGCGTAATCATCAACCAACAAAACTCATGAAGATAGAAGTAAAGCAGCAACCAATAGCTAAAGTTGAAGTTAAAAACACCCAGATAGAGGAGTCGTCAGCTTTGTTGAAGTCGATGCTTTTGAAACCGGCAAGAAATACAGGTTTCGATCCAAAAACCATTGTAATTGAAAAAGGATTTAAGCCCATTATAATGAAGAAGAACGTTGATAACGAAAACACTACCAATTCGGAGAGAAGTTCCGAGATGCAACAAGACGAAGCTGCCAAAAAGATCACCTCTGAAAGGTACAACGAGAATTTGGAACCAGTTTTCATTCCATCTCCGCCTGATAGACATGGAATCAAGAAACAATATAAAAAGAAAACACAACTTAGTAGGATGAAATCGAAATTGGATTTTGTAGATGACATGGAGATGGCTGCTGACAACAGAGAAAAACAGGACTACGTCCATTTACATTTTCCGGTTCTAACTATTGCTTCAAGCACTAACAAAAGGAGTCCAAAGTCAAGTTCTTTATTTGACTTAGTAACCGAAAGTTCAAATTCATCTGCAGAGCTTCAGCGACCGGAAAGAGCGAGTTCGAATAACTCATCGAGTAATACAGAACTTTTGAGACATGCGCCCATGAAGAGAGTTAGAAGAAACTCGCAAAAACAAAGCAAAGGTGAATCTTGGGATATAACGCGTTATCGCGATGAGGGTGCTGATGGTCACCAACACGATTACGGCAGCAGACATGACCACGATAATCACAGTCACAAAGAGCATGACCACTTGAACAAAAACGACCGTATGAAAGAGTCCGAAAGCTTGCAACAGTCGAGCACAGGAGAGATCATCATGGCGAATATCCAATACATACTTTTAACCATTGTTTTCTACTACATCCTCTGAGGAATATTTAAATCACGATATTTTGTTTTCTTAACATTAAACCTTTCTTACCCCAGGATTCAAGGCAAAGGAAACAAAAAATCGTGATTTTTTCATGGAATTCGTTGGAATATAAGTATAGTAGTCATATACATACTATTTGTTACGACTGAATCGCTGGAAAGTGCAATGAAAAGACTACGATATTTTAAATACCATAGTCGTTATGAGATATTTTTAGTTTGCATTTCTACATCAATAACAAAATTTGTGCATATAGTTCAAACAAATAGATTCAGGGTAACTATGGTTGGTAAATTTAACTAACACCGCGTTATCACAAGTGTCGTAGATGTTGTTAAGACAACATTCGATCCGCTGTTTCATTATTTGCATCGTACTTACCTAAAAGTTCAAAAAATGTGTATTAAAAGTTTATACATAATGGCTAGAACTAATTTTAAGTAAAATTCTTTTTTTTCAGATAAGTGAGATTGAAAATTTTTTTCTAGCTTTCGATACATTATAAGCCATACAATGGCATAAATGAAAGTAGTAAAATATTTAGTAATTAACGACACGAACTGTACGTATGGATAAACACTAGTAATCTTAGTGATAGTACCAATATAATAGTAGTAAAAAAAAGAACATTGTTAAGTTTACAGACTTGTCACATTGTATATAAGTGCGGAAGAGTACATTTGTAATTGATGAAGTGTTTTAAGTAGTAAACCTAAAATATGTATTTAATTCTTTTCATATTTTGTGGAAAAAGTTTTACTAGGATCATACACAAGTATAAAAAAAAGATAACAAATAAAAACTTATTATTACTAATAATAACAAATAACAAAGTCCAGATTTGAGATCATGATTGATCTATTATGATGCCGCTACTAAGTACTTATCAATTACTATTTATTTTTATACTTTTAATAAGACCTCAATAGAAAAATATGGCTTGATGCCATTTTAAAATCGTAACAGTAAATAATTTTAATTGATAATTAGTTATCATTTAAAAAAAAATTAATCATCACGCAATAATTTTATAAGTAACAAATAATAAAAATTATAAACTGTAATTTCTAATTAGTTGTAATTTATCAAAATTATTAGCATTACTTTAATTTCTTTTCGCCATCTGAAATATCATTCACGATGAAAATAAAAAAAAAGTAACTGATAATAACTAATAATACCAGTTGTCGGATAGCATTCCAAATCTTCAGTCTAGACTCTGATCTATTTATTATTATTCTCGATTTATATTTCTTATTTATTGATGAAGATGATTATTTTCACTTGGGTATAGAAAGTAAAAAAGAATCTTTCTTAACTCCGACAATCCTTCAACCTTTGAAACTCCGCTACACTCTGGATTATAAAAAAAATATTGTTAAATAATGGTAAATATCTAATAACAGGAATCGCAGGAGATGTACATCCAATCAGAATCGGAGACTATTCTTAAGCATGACAAACTTATGTATAAATAAATTTACGATTTATTATATCAAACGTTATGCTTTCCACATTTTGTACGACAACCACATCCATATTATAATTTATTATTTACATTTTAAAAGATTTTTTATTGAAATAACTACAGTATTTTCACGCCAATTGAACTGTACAAGACATTATTTTCAAAATTATTAACAATCATTATCTTTTCTTTTAATCGTTTTATTTTATTTATACTGATGAAAAATGTATACAGGATTCACAATATTATTATAAATATATAATTCTCTCAAACTTATGAAACATATAGTTATTCACAAAGTAAAACTTGTTGAAATTTATTTTATTCGTCTCAATAACTGTAATTATAACGATGTATTAATAAACAATTAATATAAATTAATAAAAAATTTTTTCAAAGTTGTTGTTATTATGTAGAATCTTTTTTCGAAAAAAAACTGATTAAAGTGCCGAAAAAAGTGTATTTTGCTTTAAAAAAACAATGTTCCAGACCTCACTCAATGCCAAGCCTTCAGAATCATATTCTTTGTATTTTTTTTCAAATTTTAAGACAAAAATCGTTAAATTAAAAACAACTTCCACTCTCAACACTTCTAGCACCCTGATTAATATCATCCTCACGTTTTTTCTTTTTGTGATTTCGGTTATGATTCGAATGACATTCGTAAGTTATAAGAATGTACAGTTTATTAATTGTTATTGCAATTATTATTCGTTCGTACAAAATTTAATTCAAATTAAAATTTTGTTCAACTATCCTTGATTTGAACAAAAAGTAAAAGATGAAGTATAAATGACAATGATACTGTATAGGTAACGTAAGCTGTACAGTATTTTTTAGATATAGACAACCTTTTCTCGTTATGCCATCTAACACCTTCTCGATCTGCCTGGTCTCATCGATGGCTGTTTCATCCTCGGCCTCTCGGACGGTGCGATCGACATCAGAGATCCTTTAATCATTTGCTCCTTGGCAGGGCTTCACGAGAGTCGAGACAAGACAATTATTTGTACAATTATTGTATTGCTCTTGAGAAATCTTAAAAACATTAATCATTGTCTTGGTCTTGACACGTGAAATCTTGTATTGTCTTGGTCTTGTCTTGAGATCTTGTCATTCAATTTTTGAATCATTGAAGCCATAGATATTCGTTGTAAAGCAACAGGAAGGCGACTAATTGATATTTTTGGAAATACTTATACATAATACTTATATTGTAGTAATATTAAAATTATTTAGAAATGTATTTGTACAATATTTACATCTTGTACTCATTTTTTTTTTTTTTAACGTAGTCAAATTTTAATAAACTTATTATGTATTTTATTAACATTTCGTGTTAAATGTCGATCACATTAGTGTAAAATAAAGAGTAAATATAAGTAAGCTCAAGAATTATTGAAAAACGAAAATTCTTGAGGAAATTATTCTTGGTATTGTCTTGAAATTTTAAGCTGTATCTTGTCTTTATCTTAGAAGCCCTACTCCTTAAGCCTCCTTCTTTTTGGGAATTTTACCAATCATTTTCCTTCTATCCGTCTTTATACAGTCCAATTTTGAATCTGTGTGCAATATTTCACGGTTGAGTATATTTGCCAGTAATACACAGCACGAAAGGCCCAAATACAATCAAAAAGAGGATCAAAATGAAAAATAGTGGTCTGTCTGATTCATGTATGCACTACTTGATAATCAAATTTTTTTTGGATTGGTAAAAGATTGGAATATAGCACAGTTTACCCAATCCCACACCCACGTATATCTGACAGTATCAATATTGGAAAATATTTTCATTAAGGGCACGAAACGCACCTGATCTAGTATTACTAAAACTAATAAGTCATAGTACCGAGAGCATTCAAGGGTTTAGTGTTCGGAAAAATTGTGTCGATGTATTGTAAGTGTAGGGCAAAAACATCATAATGCGATAGATTTTCTAGTTTTTTCGATTCTTTTATTCTTTTACACTTTATTTGTACAAGGGAAAGAAAAAAATTCGTACATTATGAAACAACATATGCCCGCAAACTGCTGTACAGGATTGAAGTTTTTTTAATACAGTAGTATACAATATCTCATTCGCTACCTGTTTATCTAAAGAGATATTGGAAACAGATCGATTTTTTGCGTACATTTTTTTTATACAATTCACGTGGACAAATTTATTTACTACGAAATCTCATTTATACATTATTTTTTTCCTGCCACAACGTAACGAGCGATGAAAATGCAAAGTAGAAAGAAAATTAAGAGTTGATTTAGTTAATTTTTAACAAAAAAAAAAAAAAAAAAAAAAAAACTGCATTTTTAGAATACAATTTCGAAAATGTCAAAAACTTGCCAAGTACTATTAATTTCGCAGACCAAAACTTTTTGATAATTTTAGCCATTGCTGAACCAATTGCATTATTAATTATAAAATAAAAATTCAGACTAAAGTTAAATAAGTAGTAAATTTATGCCTTGGGGCAAAAAAAGTATTTTGAGTATGAAGGGGCGTGGTACAAAATGTAATCATAAAAACACTGGCAAGATACGTTGTGATAGATATTAGGGAACAAATTACGCTGTGGAATCACAGCTATTGCCTGACTCTGATTCTTTATACATTTCACATTTCTTCGAATTTCTAACAACCAAAATTTAACACTTTAACCAATAAAATTATATACACTGGCCATCACATGATTTATTTTACAGTATAAAAATTTGGATATACTAAAAGGCTGACTTGAAATTCTCAATTTTTCTCCCTAAAACTAGTATCTTCGATCAAAAGAAATATTTTTAGCTTAGCAGGCACTGAAATAGAAAATAATGAAAAAATCCGATTCATAATAAATATTTTCTGTAAATATCACGAACCGTGTCAGCAAAAAGTTTTTTTTTTCAAACTTTTGAAACAAACTTCAATAAATTTTTCTTACCTAAGACGCACTAATCGTCCAAATGTTTAAATAACCGCTCTGAATAGGAACAATATAGTTCGTACATGGTGATGCCTACCCAATTTAGGCAAACACAAGGGATTTGCCTTAGCAAAACGCGCCATCAGATATAAAATAAATCTACCATCATTAATTTAGTCCAATCTATGAGCTTCGTATTATGTACCTGGAAAAACATACAGCCATGCACACTTTAAAAAACAACTAAATTACTTGACAGCACAAAATACGTAGGAAGTTGGAATTCGTATGAAAACTTTATGTAATAAAAAAATTAATATATTATAAGTACACATGACGTGCTACAATTAGGTACACTTATCAATGGATTTTATTAACAGTTTTGGGCGTTTTATTCTGTATGCATTTGGTTGCATAGGGCAAGTTCGAAAATTACCGTTCGTCATCCGAATCTTTTGTTTCAAAATTGCACGGAAATTTTTCCTGATCATGGATCGGGTGATCTGTTACTTCCATGCGATCTGTTCCATGTCAAATTTTCTTTATGTGTATTTGAGAACGAGCAGTAATTTTCGAACGCGCCCTTAATTTAAATTTTTTTTAAGGAGAAAGGATTATGAAAAAAAAGTTTGTTGAGGATGCTTCTGTCTCGCTTGCCTATTGCCAATTTTTATTGTTTTTATGCGCAGAAAATAAATGTTAAAACACTATCGAACAATTAACTTCTATTCTTATACCATTACTGTATATTTCATGCTGTCAAGACATCAAATTATCTCCCTAAATCGGTCAAAGTGCATAAAAGAACTCATGAGGTGAGTAAAAAAAAATCTTGTAACTCAAAGCTTGGAATTGGATAAAACTTCATACCTACGTACATTCGTGTCGTTCACAGCAGTACCTATGTAACAGAAATTATTATTAATCATTTTTCACATACACCCACTTTTTTCAATATAATTGGAAATCGGAGTAACATGAAGAGATATAAATTTTTAACATTCTGTTTAAGAAGTTCATTTTCTCGTGCCCGCACTGCATTCGGTTCATTAATTTCATCAAAAAATAACTTACGTTATTTAGCTCGGCCAACGGTATTCACACCTTGGGGGGGGGGGGGGTAAAGTTACTTGATTTGCGTACTTACAATGAACTAGGACCATTATTTGAACGGTCAGGGGGTGTTTCCTTTACAGTTCCTCAATAGATATTTTTAATAGTGTACTATACATATATTTGAGTTAAAGAAGAGGCCATGCATTTATCGATTAATAAACCAAATTACTTGTTATTAATTATTTTACATATACATATCCATTGTATATGTGGATGCATATAGGAGAAAACGAGTACTCTTATGCACATGATTAACTCCTTGGATTAAATATTTTTTCATAAGGTTCTTCAAGAGTATAGTGAACACGTTTTTTTACTCTGTACGCAGTGAAACGAAAACTTTTTGTTATTTCATATCTTAAAAAATATGGATTAAACATTTTTTTTAATTAAAAATTTAATTGATAAAAATTATGGAGAAATCATATATGCTTATGATATAAAATAAAAACAAAAAATGTAAAATGATGAACACAATAAACACATGATGCATGGTTTTTTTACATAAAAAAAAGTTTATTTCATAATCGATTGGTAGTATCTCGACACATGGAACTTTTCATAACTTATTTTCACTGTAGAAAAGTTTCAGTCATTGAATTGTGGTTGTAGATTTTTGTACACTTATCCAGAAGATTCGAAAACGACGACAGATCCAGGTTTTTTCAGAAATTGATTATTCATGCACAATGTGTGCATTGATTTGAAAGCGCCATAGATTTATCATAACTTGTTTAATGAATAAACTATCCAATTAATACAATAAATTTATTAATTACAACTAGCTAATTTTATTGAAACGAGTCCAAATGAATCACTACGATAATCACAAATGAATATCTAAGGTGAGACACACATCTAACATAAGTTGTTTGTCATTAAAAAAATTATACATTACATCACATATTTTTACACATAATAAATGTGAAAAATAAATAAATTACGATGAGGAACACTTTCATCTACAACACACCTTTAATTTTTATAATAAAAATTACAAAAATGTCGACTGAGAAGAATAAACTTCAAAATAAAGAAGCTTACTTTTTTTTCATCTTCAGAAAATCCTAAAAAAAAAAAAAAAAAAGATCTACGTCCGCAGTTCAGCACACTCAAAAATCGTCTCAAACGCAACGGATCCAAGAAAAACTGTACATAAAACGCGACGCGCTACGACTGCATTCTCAAAGTACCGGCTGATACCAAACTATTCTGCCACTCAGACAGCCGGATACCAAAAGACAGTGTCTCGGCGAGAATTTCGTGCTGACGACGATGTCATTGTGGCTGTAGTTCGTTGCCACTTCGATCAGCTGGGAAGACTCGCTCGTTCGAGGCACACAGTCCGCTAATTCTTGGCACTGGTTTGAGAAGGCGAGAAGCCGTATGCCCTTTGCGAATGGTGAACAAATCAGCCGACCATCAGATGAGAAGCACAGCTCCTTGATGTAACCTGAACCAACGTTTGGCTCCTCGATGTAGTGCGTTAACCGAGGCGCGTTTTGGTGTATTCGGTGGTTACGTGGTATGGCGTACATTATTTGCGAGCCTTGTCGATTCTGGTTCTGAGGTCGTCGATCGCCAACTATCACCACCTACAAAAATCATGATTAAAACTTAATATCCACGTACATTATTAATCCAACACAATACTTATGAATACAGGGACTTTGGCAATTTATGCGTTATATTTAACTCTTGGAGCAATAAAATTCGTTAAAATCGAAAGATCATCTTTAGCCGTAAGTACCGAAATTTCAAGCATTCTGAGCAAAAAAGTAGGTAACTGTTTGAATCATATTTTTAGTTACATTCACAGCGTACCGTGTGAGAAGATCTGGGTATATTAATACTAACACCGCTGCTATTCTGCCGTGTCCACTGATTGTCGCGACGTTCGACTTCCAAGTGGAATTCTCGCTCGCTCTCTCGTCTCAGTCTGGCCTCACGAATAGCAACCAGCGCCTCCCATACGTCGCTCGAATTGACGTGGAGTTCGACGTTGCCCGTTGCGAAGTTCCCGTTCTCAACGGCGCTGTTGCGTCGTCGTACGTTGATCATCGGCGAGTCGTTGTTACTGCTCTGTGAGCCTCGACGTTGGCTCACGCGTCTGCCTGGTGCTGAAAAACAAAAGATATCGGGCCACATTATAGTCGATTTTATCATACAAACGTACGGGTGTTATTTACAATCACTTTGATTACCGAGACTGTGGTTTCTCCCCTCATCCTCCTCTTCCTCTTCGTCGTCGTCTCTCATCCTATCCTCGTCGACATTCCTCGCGGAGAAGCTGTCGACGTCTGTGTCATCGACTTCGACGACAATGCCAAAGTTCGAGGCTCTTGCCCTTCTCGCCCCCAACCGTGCACTTCTTCTGGAAGACTGATCTTGGGCGACGCTCACTCGTGCGAATCGATTCGACTGGCCTGCACCTCGACTCGACGAAGAGGACGAGGATGACGAGGAGTCCGACGACGATGCGGTCATCGTTTGAATGATGCGCGCTCGGTTGACGCTATCAAAGGTGAAGGCCGAAGTAATGCCCGATCGGTTGGCTTGCTGCGGCTGGTTTTCCTCGAACTCCTCTATGGCAAAGTCACCAAAGTGCGACGACGAGCCCTTGTCGTCTTCTTCCTTTAGAGCTTGCTGGTCGGACTGCTGCGATTCGCACTCCTGAATGTCATGAACACACGTCCACTGAAAACGATAGAAATCGGAATTTAGCTTCATGAACCTATTTTCTGTTTTTAACATTTGTTTCGTGCTTTACCTCGGATTTTTCGCTATTGCTGACGTTTCTGGAAAGAGCGCACCAACCGTGTGGATGAACCTGCAAGCTGGATATGACTTCGGCGTCGTCACCTTCCGGGAAATCGGTAACGAATTCAACCCTATTTTTATTACGAGAATTTGAAAACAAATGCGTGAACACAGCAGCCGCTGGAATCGAAGTCTGTGATAACTGCATCAGTCGATACATGTTTGGCTGGAAAAAGGGAAGGAAATGATCTGATTATTAACTGAGGCCAATTTTGTTTTGAAATTGAATAGGTGAATGAGTATATACATAGTTCTATTTAGTTTGATTACCTTAAAACCAGCCAAGTCTTGACTTAATGTACTAAGATTGAGATTGTGAACGATTATGAGGTATCCTGATGTTGTGCACATGAGCATTTTAGATGCATCGGGAGTCAATCTTGTTCTCATCAAACCATTTGTTTGGAAAACTCTGGTAGAAAGACAACTATTTTCTGTGAAACTGCAAGGAGTGAACAAAAAATTTTTTTTAAATTGACAGAGAAGCAGTTATCAACTACGTTATGATTGCATGAATATGACGAACCTATTGATGTCCCACGAAAATATAACACCATCAAAGCCGCTAGTCAAAAGTAATTTGTCACTGGGACTGTATTCAATATTTTTAACCCAGTTCGAATGACCATGCAACGTTCGTATCCTCTGCTTTAAATTTCGTGCATCCCATAATGCTACTGTACTGTCATCCGAACAGGTTGCAAACATCCGTTGATCGAGGAATCTAAAATAATTTTTCCTCATCAAAAAACGACTACTGCATAACTCCTAACATAGTGCTGTCGGTACCTTAATTAGGTATTAAGATTTTAACGTAAAAATAACTAGATTAAAATTTTGTGGAGCTTACAGTATCTGGAAACAAAAGTTAGAGAGACATTTGTTTTTATAGGTTAAATGTTAAATGCAGTGCTCACGGAAAATCATGTATTCAACTTAAACTACTGTTCAGATCTTAGATGAAGGAATAGGAAAAAAAAGTCAATGTTTACAGAACTTTTTGAGCACTTAGATGTACTGATAAATTGCTTAGAAAAGTGAGAAAAAAAATGTATGAAAATATGTATTATAGCAGGATGCTCCTTCACTATATTGCTCCTCAAACTTTTTCCATTTAATGTTGAAACTTGAATCTTTGACTTTGAACACATCTTTTTTTTAGGTATAAATAAAAAACACAATATACAGAAGTTTCAAATTTTAAAAACCTTCTCACATACTTTTTTCCCCAGTGAAAAATTTCAGTAGTAAGGTTTGAATTTAGCCTTGATAAACAAAATATATTTTTGACCTATAAGCAACCACATACAATGAGGATTAGCTGTGAATTTCTTCATAATTTTCCATCGACAAAACTATCCAAGTATTTGATGGTTATTAAATATTTTGGGGGACAGGTTGATACTCATTTTTGAGGGCAAGATACCGACAGAACTACCTCAATATTAAAAGTTTGGCACCAACCTTGCACCATTAACACAATTATCGTGAGCATTGTCAATAGTGTGAATCAATTTCCTACAAAGGGGGTCGAACATCAGAATGCTTTTTTTTTCACAGGCTGCAAGCAACAGTGATCTGCAATGTACAGAAAAAACATGTATTCAATGAGTGACAAGATAAAACTTGAATGTTTAAGTAAAATCACAATAAGCATGTACTACAAGAGAATGTAGGTAGATATTTCGATAAAACTAATGCATAGCAGTTATGAGACAGATCCTGATAGACTTACCCATCGGGCGAGTACTCCAAATTGAAAACCCCACCATGCATGGCACTGGATAACTTGTGGTGGTGATCCCAGGAGGAGACAGGCTGTATGGACGTGTAGAGAGACTTGAAGAACCGATCGCTATGGCCCATAGGAAACTTCAAGCCCAACTCTCGTTGCCTCAAATAATTGGTGTTGAATAACTGTCTGGCCCAAACAGCAGCATTGTGATTTTTTATCTCAGTTTTGATTTTTGGCATCTTGACACCAAATGCTGAGCTCAGCGGCTCCTCGGACGAAAAATAGTACCCAGTTGGTATTGTCCTTCAATAAACGACACTTTGGCTTGTTTTTCGTTTTGTTTTTTTTTTCAACAATAAACCAAATAACACTCTGCACGTGCGACTACATCGGTCCCCCAAACAATCATCGCTCAACTTTCGGAAGTACAATCTTCATGATAAATCAAATGTTGAAATATTCACTCCAAAGAGTCCGAAGATGTAAGTTCTAGTCACACGAGACCATCAATTGATCAAATCAATTAAAAAAAAAATAATGCACACATTCAGAGAAGACACTTGTACCTGTGAACCTGTACCTTCACTTTTAAAGCAGAAAGGATGAATTATTCTGAATCTCTGAACACTGCACGAAGCGCAATGAGGTTATCACATCGGACACACACGGTTGATAGGTATATTTTTGTGCTCCTCTCTCTTATTATACCTACTTACCCTCTCTATGCTGTTCTCGCACGAAATGACCACGAACCGAACCATGCGTGCAAAAACCAAACCAATGGCTAAAACTCTTGAGATATCAATTGAAATAAGTACAAGCAGACGGATTTCAAGTTTGCAGGGACACCTCTCTCATTTAGGTACCAACTTACCAACTGTGCAAGTTATACGCATCAGCAGCGCGTTTTTGTGGCAAGTAAGTATATACCTAAGTATATAGGGTATAGGTATAGAAGTAGAGAGAAAAACTTCACGGTACTTTACAACTTCCAAGTATACTTGGACTCACTCACTTAATGCACATTGACGATGATGCACTCACGCACTATTGGACAGTACCTATATTATACAGGACTTAATGTATTGTTCTCTGTCACAAAAACAGTAAGTGAATTTGTCATACGTCACACTGTCACTGACGCAGCCACAGGCCACAGGCCACAGGCCACACAGACAAACATACTTACAGAAGTTACAGACTTACACAGACGGCTACTTTCCAATTTCCAATTTTTCCAAAAATATAATGGGTTTTAGATTAGATTGCCCGATACTTATCACAATGCCCATGATAATAGAGTCTCTAAGAGTTCGATTGGCTTTCCAGAGCAAAACAATTGTACCTATGGACATGATTGGGAAAAAATTTTGATGGGATTCAACGTCATTTCAATGAAGATTGAAAAATACTTAGACGGGAACATATTAATTATATAATGTTAACATTTTTTGCATAAAATTCAACAATATTTCAGATATTTTTAAATAAAATATTTCAATACGAAAAGAAGCAAATGTTTCGAAATCCTTAAAATCCAAATGTACAAGTACAAACAATCAATGAAATCGGCGGTGATTTGATACAATAAGCATTCAGAAATTAAAATTAATCAAGGATCTTTCTCCACGAGGAAAAAAAAAGGACAGGAGCAAGTAAATATACACAATAATATCCTCCAAAATGTTAAAAGTTCATAAAACTTGTCGAAAAAAGCCTAAATTCGGCTGATTATGCAAGCCTAGAAAAAAACATGTAATTCAAATTTCCCTCCAGAATGCTCGACTGCTCTCGCGCAGACCATCCGCGCAGTTGCAGTTGAGGATCTTTTTGTCACGTGACCATCCGAGAGCCAATCGTAGCTGCAACCGGCAAGGCACCGCCCTAACCTTAATAAAAAAATTAAAAGTTTTAAAAACACGACATATCTACGAGGAACGAGGACGACGAAAAGTGTGCAACTGTGCAGCTAAGCAGCATGGCTGCGTAGACGAAATAAAAAAAAAAACAACTATTGGTGCGGCGATAGTGCATACTTACCTGCAAAAAAACCAAGTCAAGAAGCCAAACAGAAGTACAGAAGAGTGTCGAGAGATGATTGATGAACGAGTGCGTGTTGTAAATAAATCGATCGAACAGTGATAACTTGGTACACAAGCGAAGAGAGAGTAGTTCTGTGGTTGCTTGCAAGGTCATCGCTGTTTAAATCAGTGCAGCATCGGTGCACGTAGGACGTGCAATTTTGTGCTTATTTTTTACAGTGATACAACTGTGTAATCTACAGCTGTAACGATTTAAGTGTAGGCATTCGTGATTTTGTGGAATCAATTAACGTAAGTAAAGTAGGACGCATGACTAACTTGATTTTTCTCCTCCATAGCCTTGTTTCTCTTCCACGCCTGTAACGACTAACGACTACTTATGTGTGATGTTTGTGCTACTTACATTGTACATACCTACAAGTATTTAACTGTGCTATCTTTCTTTCCTCTTATAATTTATAATGTTCTTAAACTATTTTACTTCAATAAAAGAGGAGAAGGAGAGAAGAAAAGGGAAAAAAAGACCGGGAACGCAATAGGTATATATCTATACATTTGTACTTTCTACCGTACCGACCTTAAGTGCACGCTACACTGCACACAGACGCACAATATCACGTACACGTATACCCATACATTTAGTTAGTTATTTAGTCTTATAGCTTTTAGCTAAAGCCGTGTCTGCTACAGTTACTTAATTTACCGCCACAACCGTGTATACCCTACTTACAACAAATTCCCAAAGGTCTCGTGCAAGAAGTAACGGAACGCGGTTAGGAATTTGTGTATAAAAAAACCGGAGGCGGAAAACCCGACTTGCCAGTCGAAGATTGGAGAAAAAGAAGAAGAAAGGAGGAGAAAGTATCGAGGAGGGTGTGTGCATGTGTGCAGTCGTTCCTCGTCGTCGTCGCCATTCTCTTCGTCTGTCGTCCTCCTCCTCGTATATGTGGGCCTATATAACTTGGGTGCGTTGATATAGCTATGCAGCAATTTTGCACATTTTATTTTTTATTTTTTTTGGAGACCAAGACAAAATTTTCACTCCTATCGGCTCAACGGCACATTCCGATTTAGTGCCATTACATATGTGTGTATGTGTATTGGATGTAAGACCTTTTTTTTAAAGGGAACACATGCAGTAGATGCGATGGTCTTGTTATGGCTTTTTTTCCTTTTAATTATTGCTTCCAATGCCGTTGCCATCGTCGCCAATTTCGAGTACTTGCAGGGCCTGTACTGCTATGGATAAACTAGCTTTTTTCCATTTAATCGATGTTATTTGCCAAAAAAAATAAAGAAAAAAGCGCGTCTCAAGTTGTTGAATAAAATTCGTATTTTAAATCTTCATCCACACTGCATGTGTAACATGTAACGTGATATTTATATCTTATCTCCCGGAAAAATCATTGCTCAAATACATACTTCCTCTAATATAAAGTGGAAACACGATACCAGAATACTACGATAGATACCCATACCACAACTAAACTGAGCTCAGACCATTGCATACATATAGGTATACGTACATTACATGAAAAGTGACCCTCTCCGGCGGGGTCTTCCACCACTCGATCTCTCCGCTTACTTATATATCTATATATATAACTCTCTGCAGTACACCGGCAAAAAAAGGAGCAGACAGCAGTGTCGTGCCGTACCTACCTATTTTTTTTTATGTATACATGCTTATATATATGTATTTAAATGCACATGTACACGTACAGCATACTTGCATACCTTATTTACACTTGCAAATGTCAAGTGTACACAAAACAAACACGACGGGAGTAGAAAAACATATATTCTACATTATTATAATGTAGGTATGTTGTGCGCGTTGGCAGTCGGCGTCCTTCGAGCCTGCACTTCTGTCTCCGCGAGCTCTAACTGCGTTGGTGTCAATATATTATTTTGTACTTACCAATAATAATAAAAACACAGGCAGATTTGCAAGTTTCACACAACAGTTGTTTTGTAAACAGTAGACAGTCTATGCAAAACGTCAGAGCCATTTAAATTGTAACAATAATCGAGCATGATTCACCAGAGATAAACAAACAGCTTTGATCAATCAGGGGTCTGCCTTGGCCCTTTGTCGGCTGGGTGATTCTTGCTGATTATTCACAATCAAAAAGTTGGCTGTCTAATAAAGCTCCTAAAAAGTAGGTAATACGATGTAGTACAAGCACAGTGTAGAATTTTAAGAGTTCCTTTTGGTATCAAGTATCACGTGGAAATGGTTTGTGTTTGCCCTGTGTATAATCTTCTTCTCTCCTTTTCCCTGTCTTTTCCTTAATTTCTCTCTCACACTTGGTGCTTATGCTTTAAATTTTGCTGCTGCTAAGAATGTACACCATTACAAGCTGTTGCTGATAAAACTCCCTTTTCCTTCTTTGGTATACTTGATGTGACTCGATTGAGCCAAGCTATGTAACGGCGCTTTTTAATTGTACTTAAGTAATCCATACATCCCTTTTTTCTTGTGATTTGTTAATAATAAGTTCCTACAGGTATGGGTTGATAATTATAAGCCTCTCTTTCTGTTGCTGTGACATTATTTATGTTATTTGGTGCTATACTGACTGTTGTGGCTTCCAAATTATCTAATTTAGAAATTTTAGCAAAATGATTACCTGTTTCTCCTTATCCTTGCTATTTTTTCTGAAACTATCACCAATTTTTTTTTTTTTTTCAAGTCTCACTCAAGGGTGTTTCTTTTTGTTCTTTTTTTAGAGCGATAAAAACACCGGAGACTTGCTTTCATACTTTAAAGCTCCTAAGAACTGCGAAGCCATAACTGTGTTTTAAAGAAAGCTCAAAAAAAATTTTAATACATAACACACAGCTTGAATATCATACGCCTGTTGTAACATCATGGGTAAACCTACAAAGAATGATGCGGGCTCTGGGGGCGATGAGAGAAATGTTGAACGGAAACAGAGAGCAGGCAGCAATCCGTCGAAAGCTTCTTCTTCGAATACAGTCAAGTCGAGACTGGGCGATAACGAGACTTCCAGGTTTGTCAAATTATTAAGTCAAAAAGCAGAGTCCCGTGAAAATATCATCAAAACGCCATACATGTGAATTTTCTATTTTTACGTTTTCACTCGTCTACAATTGCGTTGTTACATTCGTCATTTGTGTTCCATGAACTTTCATTAATTTTGTGAATCACATTCTTTAAATCATTAAACTTTATGTGTTTGGAAATTGGCATTAATAACTAATTTTTGTTGCTTTCAAACGATATTATGTAATTCTAAATGATTATTAAGTAAACAATCAAAATGCCTTTCTTAATATTAAGCAAAAACTTTCATTTGTACATAAACTTATTCACTCAACGTATCATAGACTTTTTCAAAGTGACTTATAAACAAATACAGAAAAATTTTCGTAGAACTGATGTTAAGCACGAATGAGTATACTTTGATACTTAAAAAAAAAGTGACACTAAGGAGCAAAAGCATTAACGTTTCAATTTTCTTTTGTCTAACATAATATGAGCAATCAATTGCCTCTCATCACCTCCAGTCATTGTTGCTCGCCATACTTCGTAATGTACTTTATCTGATCTTGACTATTTCAAGCTAATCATTTTTAAATTTACTTGTATTTTAGGTTGAAAACTGGAGTGAGACAAAGTGCCAGACAGTCGATTGTAGGAAAGGCTGGTCTAAAAGTAAGTGATTTTTCTGTTTTTATAAAAAATTTTATGTAACAATTCTAAGCTCACACTTGATTATTGATTATTGATTATTAATTATTACGTAACCTGAAAAACTCGCTCTTGTAATCGCAACTAGTGAGGTTTCATTCATACATTTTTAAAATTATTTACAATGTATCATTTATAAATTTTGACATGAATTTTCCGAACCCAACACGTGTTTATTTAATCAAATGATACTTCCTCCAAGCAACGATGCCTTCTGCCCATGTGGGTGTTTGTTTTCATTGTATACATGAGAGTAGTTACATAATTAAATCTGTCTTCCTAGCTTCTATGACATTCAAACTTTAAATATAAACTGTACACAACACCATAATAATGTAAACCTGTAAGTGAACTGGAGGAAGTTGAAATTTTTATTTTGTACTCCAAAGAAAAAAAATGTATATGCTTATTTATTACTTACAAATACTTTGATCGTTATCATTCATGTCTAATGTTCAAAGTCAATTTAATTTATATACGTAGATACACATGGCTTTTTTTTATTCGTTTAATGTTGACTTTCAAACCACCAAGTCGTTTGAACCTGACGTTTTGGATAATGAAATAATCGTGCTTCCAATTAGGAAATCCGTTTGCTCGTATAATCACAATGAAAATCAAGTAAACCAATTCTTTTTTTCGATCTAACTGAATTATAAATTGCAGTTCCCTACCAACGTGACGATTCACACTCCTCTAAAAACACCGTCTGCAGGGTTGGGCCAGCCGACCAACCGTGGCGGTAGTGTGACCAAGCCCACAATATCGAGTACCAACAAAGAAGTGAAAAAAGCCAGCGAGTTGGGAATCAAGCCAAAGAGTCTGGCAGGCAAAATGAAACAGGAAAGCGAGAGCTCGGAGCCCAAACCCAAGGCCAATGTCCTGGACGAGTTCCCCAGTCCGGCTGAAATCATCAAACAGCAAGCCAAGGAGTCCTCCGATCATACCGCAGAGCAGCAGCCAGCCGACCAGCAAAATGGACTGAACGGTGGTAAAACTGCAGTCGACGAAAATGGCACCGAGAACGGCAGTAGCCAAGAAAACGGCAAGTCGAGCGAGCAGAACGGCCAAGACGCCCCGAGCGAGCGTGACGAAGAGATTAAGCTACAGCTGGAGGCGGAGGATCAGGGTGGTAGTGACAGTAAACCGGATGACGATGTTCCCAAGGAGCCCTTGGAAATGGGTAAGGATGAAGATTCGCAGAATGACGTCAAAACATCGAGCGATGGAACGGCGGATGACCTGCAGACTGACACGGAAAGTTACTCGGTTGACGTGGTCGAGTCTACGACGTCCGAACCCTCCGAAGCTACAGAATCGACTGCTGCACCGTCCGAGGTCGGCAAAGACGATGATGTGCAGAACGCAAACGACGAAAATGCAATGTTGGAAGCTTCGAGACAAAAGTGCTCGGTCCAGCTGATGGATTGCATGAGAGATCCCCAGGTAATTGGAAATTCCATCTCAATTATTACGTTCATAACAAATATATGTGCCAAGAGGTTGTCGTACTAATTCCTTGTTTATTTTTACATTGAATGGCATTTAGTGTGCAGATTTAATGAAAGAGCAAAGCGTTCCACTTGAAAGACGTATTAACACCAGATCCAAATCCAAATCAAAAGTATGGAGGTTTTTCCCGTTTTTTTTTTTTTTTAATTTTCTGTTTCAATAAAACTTCCTTGTGTATTTCGCTTCTGTATGTATCTGCGGATATTTAGAAGTCGACTGCATGTTACGATATGTGTTCACAAACTGTTGTAGGAATGATTTGTTAACTTTGTACAGCTGTGACTACGTTATTGTTTCTACGATGCTTACTTTGCATCTCTTTTAATTGATGAATTGATAAAACGATTTACCAATGGACAAGTGGTAACAATGTAAAAACTTGATGAAATGATGTTTCAGGCTAAAGAGGTAAGCGTCGCTCAACAGAGTGAACCAGAGAATCCTCCAATATCGACAAACGGTCGAGAATACATAAGACCAAGAGCAAGACCCTCGATCAGGCGTAATTTTTCGTACAACTCGACAAACAGATCGCTGTTTCTCAATAGGGTGACCGAGGAGGGTGGTCCATCCTGTCGCATTATTTCGGACAACTATCGAAAGCTGCTGACGGAATCAGCCGCTACCAGCACCAATGGTGCCTCTCTCAGCTCCAAGATAAGGGAGGCGAACATGAAGCGCAAAGCTAACGAAGCCAATCCGGTGGAAGAAAAAAAAGCAAAGTTGGTTGGTGGTGACAGCCTTCTGCAACAAAAGACACAGCTTTCAGCTACCAGTAGGACGATAAAACCCGTTCTTAATGAACCACCTCTTAAAAAGTGGTGTACCATCATGTAAGGGGGAAAAAAAACCAAGATAAAGAAAATTATTGTTTTAAACGTCACGCAATTTTGTGTAGGGTAGGCGATGTATCGAGTGTGCATATGCGAGTCTTTGAGTTTCCAAGTGGATACTAGAGTTTAGTTTTCATTGACTCTTGTATTATGTTTATCATTATTACCTTTTTTTTTATCGTGCAAGAATCGTTTTACATATTAATAGATGTTGATGATTATCGTGTAGACACCTATATTTATTAGTATTCACACGTTCGAGTACATATTTGTACTTTTAGTGTTAAGGTTGGACTCCAAACATTACTTAATACAAGGATTATGAAAATTCAAACTGATAGTTTATGCCTGTGGATTTGTTAGAATAAAAATTATACATAAATAGAGTTATAGATACTAATTAAGTAAAGATTTTTTCATTTATGTCATCATTATTAATAATTCATTTATGATTGAATTTCAATTAATTAGCTCTTAATTATAATATTGTTAAGATTACAGCCATAGTGAATATCAAGTTTATTACTTGTCCTACACATATAGACCATCTTGGAATAAAGTCACTTTAGACTCTAAAGAAGGAATTTTTATTATTGATGGTACTAGTTGAAAAATTATCTGTATACTTAACGTGGCAAACGTATTTTTCATCAAAAATTATTCGTCGATATCTACAAAATTTATTTTGTGTATTCTTTAGATTTTGCAGTGACTTTTGTATCAAATTGAGTAGATGAAAATCATGATCCATCACATTTTATCTCAACATTGAACCATCAAGGATGTATCGCTTAGCCTACAATACTCACCAGTACATATCTAGAATTACTAACACCTTAATCAATTTTGTTTGACGAGCTTTAAGCAGTCGAGTCAAGAAATACCTCATTCGACAATTTTTTATATGATATAAATAAGAGTCGCGCGATTTAAAGTGGACAAAGCGTATGTTCCATACAATTTCCTATGAATCTAGAGATTGTAATATTTTTCAAGCAAATCAAGTATTTTGCAGAGAAAAGACAGCATCTGACAAATCCATGTAGGACAATTTTTTCCTTACACGGTTTCCGTTTATCAACGTTTGTAATTTTTACATCGAAAATTAAAATGAAAAAAATACCAATTAATTTAGGCGAGATCATTTTTAAAATGTCATCGTATCACATACTTTTAGTTTGTCATTAATAGCATCCTGGTAATGCTTTTTCTTACGAAAATTTGTGTAACTAAACATTTTCTTTATCATGTATTATTAAAAATTGTACAAAAAATGTCAAACAAAATTTGTTCAGACTACAAGTTGAAAAGAAATACTAAATGAAACATTAGGCGATGTGAAAAATATATTTCTAGAAAAAAAAAATTACTTGTCGACTTTACATTTACTTAATTTGTTTTGTAATGTAAGTTATTGTTACGGACATTTTATTTGAAACCTGTTTTGCATGAATTTTTTTTTTTTAATCACAACTAACAAATATTATTATGCATATAATATAGACGTTTCTTAGCCAAAAGGTATATATGTACATTTACTGTGAAAGAAATAAAAGACTGTATGGGCACCAATGATGTATAAATCTGGTGTTTCTCAAAGTATAACGAATAACTGTTCGCATCATTGAATCGGGATACATTCTTTTCGTAGTAATTATTTCTTTACGTTTTTTCTGTGCATAAGTTTTAATTATATTCATTGTAAATTTATACTGCATTGTAAGACTACCACGTGATTTAAACACCCTAAAGGAATTTTAAAAAAAATTTATTACACCTGTGGTGTATTTCCAGGTGTATACTTGTCACGTATTCACAACAAATTCATCAAAATAATGTGCCAGAAAAAATCGTTGATAAATAATTAACTTCTAAGCCATTTACCCATAGATCATGTAGTACTACGTTAGGTAATTGTATCAACACAATACGAGACTTTTTGATTATGACTATTAATGTATATGTACAGAAGGATAAACTGCCGAGAGATTAAAGATTTGCCAAAGTAACGCGCAATTAGTGAAGATACAATTAGTGATGAGATGCCAGGTATTTTTTCTATTTACAAATACAAAAATAAAATAGCAGTCCATCCAATAGTTTCGAGCTTAAAAGCGATGGACGGTCAATTCGACGTAATTTTTTACTGATCCGATGAACTACAAAATGTTAGGCGGAGAATATTAAGACATATGTGTATTGTACATACGAAATAAGAAAATTTATAATAAATTCACAGACATGAAAAAAAATTTTTCAAGTATTTTTTATCGACCATTTGTGCCTAACGTTTTCGGTAAAACAAAAAAAGTACTGTCCCTAGATCAAGCATCCACGTTGAATGTGTAATCAACTACATGTGTAAATACATAATCAAAGTTTAAGATTAACCCGAGTAATTTATATCCAACTAGGCATATTAAGTATAGAGTAGATGTAGATTTTTTCAAAACAATATTTTTTTGTATCACTTTTTTCTAAGAAGTTGTGTGAATAATTTTTTTTTTTTTTTTTTTCTTATCACAAATTCTACAGCAAAATGTTGCGTGCAAAAGTTGTGGAACTTGAAAAATGCATGTTTTACCGTATAGTTAAATTGTAATATTAATGATGCAACAAAAAAAAAAAAAAAAATTGGAAAACAGCGAAACTCACATTTTTTTGCCTACACAGAAGGAAGAAATTGATACACAGTAATTACAACAAAGTATTAAACTAACACCAGTTTTCAACTCAAAGTTAAACTTTCGTCGGATTTCTGTAAAGACAAGCTAAGCTGAAAAGCCGTCGCTTCTAATTACCGTTCTTTAGAATAAGTTTCCTCCCTCTAGCACATTAGCACCACATCTGCGCTTACTCACCAGCTCGACTTGGTATAAGTTTGTATACACATATACGACACGAGGGACAAAGCTTGGGCTTGAAAGCTAATTCGCGAGAAATTCTCTCTCATTTCTCTTTGGCTGCAGTGTTCCTCGTAGTGTAAGTACATGCACTAAGGTAAAAGGTAAGTTGGCAAGTATTTATACAAATTGCATAACTTGACACAACGCGAGGAAAGTAATCGCAAATTTGGGCTGAATTACTCATCGTTTGGAAACAAAATGTTTTTTTCCCAGAAATATTCATTACTTTTTCTGCATTATTTTACATTATTTAATCACAAGATATTTTTACGCAACAAATGTTTATTACAAAGTGTTTCTAATGTCTTACAATTTTATTATATTTATGTCTTTTTTTTTTTTAAGAGAATATTGAAAAAAAAACATTTTTTTTTAACAAATTCAAAATTGTAATAAGCAATTGAAATGCTTGAGTCGATTATTTCAATAATAATGGCCCCATGCACCCTCGTATCAAGTTTTAAGTTTTTCATCATTTTTGTGCTGTTAATTTTATGTGAGAAAAACTGTTAAGTAAAATTTACTAAAACACATATCAAATAAAGCTAATAAAAATTATTATTATTACAGAAGTGAGGAAATATTTAAGTGGTGTCGGTAGGTTTCATCAGAATTAAACAACTCTCTAGAATGAAGAAGCATAATTTTGTTTATTCATAATAAGTTGAAAATAGTTTTGAACGTGTATAATATGTCAATCTAAGAAAATAATACTACTACAACTTGCTGTTGTATTGGGGAAATCTTTACATGTTTATTTTTTTATTTTTTACTTACAATGAAACGAAATGGATACCCTAATACAGTTGTATAAAAGTACATGAGTTACAAAATTATACATATAAATTAAAAATAAGGCTAGAGTTACATTGTTACTAGTTAAGTAAAATAAATTATAATTATTAAATAATCGATAATGACTCGGGATTTATGGTTTTTAATACATAAATTTGTTTCAAAGGAGTTACACAAGCATTGCAAAGATAAGGTAGGAAAAACAAACCATATAAAATATTTTTAAAATACCAACATTGCATTATGTGCAGTAACAGCCCTAAAATTTTTTTTTCTGTTTTAAAAGTTTTGAGAATCTCTCAGAGATCTGATCTTTAATGATGTGTACAGTCTTAAGCTATTTTGAATACTTATACTGCGATCTTAGAAAATAATAGCATCATAACTTCCTATTTCATCAAAAAAGTTTCTACGTGTTTGATTATACGAACAATGAATTTCAACCCTTACATCTGTTGGAATCTTTGATAACAAGGGTACACAACACGCTGTTTAAGCAGATTTAAATGATAAGCAAACAAAGAGCCATTAAAATAATACGCCCTGCGTTTATTTAAATTAAATGAAAATACAACTATTTTAATCCATTACTGTGAAAAAAAAATTTTTTTTGTTTACATCCGATCAAGATTACGTTTTTTCTAATCAAGTAGATTGTAAAGGAGACACAAACGTTTTAAAGATAAGATAGAAAAATCTCTATATAATATAAAAAAAGTATGTTGAAGAGTGACGAGTGTATTACAGACGGTTAAACTACCGTAAAGTATTTGCGAAAGAGAGAAATTTTAGTTTTATTTCAAAAATTATTAGGAGATCTGATCTTAGCTCGTGTAAAGTTATAGTCTATTTTAAAGACTTCACTGTAATTTTAGAAAATAATAGCATCGTAACTTCCTGTTTTATCAGGAAAGTCTCTGTGCGTTCAATCATACAAAGTAAAAAAAAATTGTGTACACCTATACTTTCGTCAATAATAAAATAATGGTAAAAAACTCATTGTTAGAACAGATAAAAATCCTAAAAACGATAGCTAAACACAAGTATCATTGAAATAATACGTCCAGCGATTCTATTAAAACAAATGACTATGAAACTATTTTAATCTACTACTTTACTCTTAAAAAAAAATAGAACAGTTTTCATCTGATTGAGTTTACGCATTTTCTAATGAAATAAATTATTGCAAAGGAATACACAAACATTGTAAAAGTAAGATAGAAAAATCCATGTATAATATTTTAAAATATATAAAAAGGGTTACAGTGTATGGTAAAAATGCCATGAAGTAGTTTGGAAAAAGAAAAAGAGTCTTT